AGTGAAGAATAGAAGAGCACAATAGTTAGCCTTGGCTTGTTGCCGGCTACCTTAGAACAGTAGCAAGTAATCACAGAAAGAGAGCAGAGAGTTTTATGTGAGAGAGAGAGAGAGAGAGAGAGTTTTGAACCAATTTGTTCGTGTCTTGTGTTAATGAAAGAGCAAGGTACTTATAGTTTGAAAACATGTAGAAAATAATGCAAGAATCATAGTTTAGCAATAATTATGGAACTATGTACTAATTAGAATCAAATCAGTATAAGTACTTCCCCTTAATTAAGGAGTTAAATAACTAATAAGGAAAGAAATCAATGTACGACCAATAAGGACAGACTTCAAATATAGTAGGTATAGGGTAAATAATTAGGTCTAGGTTCATAAGGTTCTAATTAAGTAAATAGCATAAGAATAAATTAACAGCATAGTCAATCACGTAATAAGGCAAGAAAATATTTAGAAATTGAAATCATCAGGGAATAAAGTATACCAATCACAGGGAATCAAGGATTCCATTAGAAGGTAACACTGACTAAAGGAAAGTATCACAACTGAACGAAGCAAACATGACACAAATAAGCATAGGGTAAAAGAATCACATAAATCCGGGGTTCAAAGTAAAGGATGGTATTGATGAGAGGAAATAACCACAAATTGTCTGGGAATAAACACATAATAGGCAGGAATAGTCGAAGTCAAAAACCTAACAAGAAACATAGGGTAAAGATCTTAGAATCACAGAGTGTTAATGAGAAACATACATATTAGTTGAACATATTATCAAAAAACAAACTCAGAAACCCAGGATTAGAACTAAGAAATTAGGGTTTTCAAGATAATAAATCGAATAAAAGGAAAACTTAAATAAACCGTTTAAACATAGCAAAAAATCATAGAATAATACTGAAAATCAGAAGAAAAGTCATTTTAAAAAAGGGGTTAAGAAACCCTAGTTTTGAAGACGAAAAGGCATTTTGGAAAATCGGAGAGTTTATCATGGAAAACAACAAGAATAACTCAAAATACGCTCAGATCTATGGTAGATCTGAAGAGTCAAGAGATGAGTTAGGGTTTCAGAGAGAGATAACTCAGAGATGGAGAGATTCCGGCTTAGAAGCCATAGATCTAGCCGGAAAATAGAAAGATCTTACTCGGACGGGCCAAGGTGGCCTGAGAACGGTGAGCACAGACCATAAGTGTGAGTTGAACTGCCACCGGTCCCTTGAGGTCCTTCGAGATGACAAGAATCCGGCGTGTGGGGGGAACCATGGAGGCTAGGGGTGGTGGTATAACCACCATTGATACCGGTGAGCCAACGGCCGGTGAGTAGGAGCCGTGGTTATGCAGAGAGCTTGAGAGAGAATGAGAGAGTGTAACGGCAGAGTGAAGGGAGGAAAATGAGGGTTTGGTAGGTAGTCTATTAGGTTAAATTACGAAGGAATTAACCTGGACCGTTGATCAAAAATGATCAACGGCCAGGATCTGGGCAGACTTAGGTCGGGTAGAATTTAGGTTTGGGCCTGGGGTATTGGGCTAATTTAATTGGGGTTTTGGGGATGGTTTAATTGGGTTAAAATTGAAATAAAATGAGCTATTTGTTAAATACCCAATTAAATTAAATAAAATAGTATAGAATCATATAATTGGGCTATAATTGCAAATTATTGCAATTATAGCCAAAATATGTCAATTTGGCCAATTATGAAATAATTTATTCAAATAAGACCATAAATAATAAGTTAAATCAAGAGATGCTTCTGAAATCATTTATAATGTCATTTTGTAATTATTTATTGAAAACAAAATGTTGGATAAATTAATAAAAAAAATATAGGAAAATTGTGAAAAAATACCAATTACTATTAATGCATGATTTTGAAGGTATATATGCAATTTAAAAATATTTTGGGAAAAAATTGGGTATCAATAATAAGAAGAAGGAAAAAAATAGTAAAATAAAATCTTGAAAACAAAATTTTACTTACGTGTTATATTCCACTTCTCGGGGAACGACATGCGCTCAACTGGGATCAAGTTTGAGGTCCTTACTCAGACAAAACGGCCTAGCCAGTCTCGATACCGATCTTCATCGATACTCGAGAATAGGGGCTTTAGGGGCTTTACTAGCCCGACGCGCGAGCTTGGTCAGTCTCCCCCGAAAGAGTCGGGGACTGTATAGGCGCATGAGGTGGTGGTCTACGGTGAACGGGCAGCTATCGATCTTGCTCATAAAGAACCGAAAAAGGATCATGATCCTCCAGAATGAAGGGTGAATTTGACCGAGGCATACCTCGTATCTTTTGTAGAAGTCGATGATGGCAGGATCCAATGGCCCAGTGTAAAGGGATAAGTGTAAAAACTTTAGTATCCCTTAACGTGGGTGGTGATATCTTCATTGGGTCCGGGAACCACCACGTGCTTGTCAACCCAATTGCAATCCTTTTTGACTGTGGGGAGGACTTCTTCAGTGATCGAGCATACATATCTCGAGACCTCCTCATGTCGGCCTGGTATGGAGGAAGGTTTTTCAACCTTGAAATTGGCGGTTACCGAGCATCCACCAAGGATGAACATTGTCAATGAGGGTTCTGCTACTAGTTCCTCGACATCAATACATGGAACGGTCTCCTCGGTAGCTGGTCGCAAGGTAGAAGGAGTTTATTTTTGGGGAATGGTTTTTGAAGTGCCATTTCTTTTTAAATGGTGGATAAGAGAAGAAAAAAAGGAAGTTAAAGGAGTACACTGGATGGTTTGGGATGAAGACGAACAAAAGTTCTTACAAAAGATCTTTAAAAACCAGGATATAAGTGCCAGAAAGTATAGATATTTCTAAGGAATAAGGGTAGAAGATTTGGATGTAAATTTTGAATGAACAAAGAAGGATGTACTTATTATTTTTAAAATGACGGTTCGTATCCAGGAGTGGATGACCGGCAACTGACAAGCATTTAATGCCATTAAGACTTGACTGACGAGACGTTTCGTTTATTTTGTCATTTTTGTCGCGAGGTATCGAAGTAAGAATTAGAAGCTCATGTCGTTTCTCGTCGTCTACTCTATAAAAACGAAGGGACTATCTGTATACGGTCAAAATCGAGTTCATCTACGACATGGTAGATTAGCCTCGGAACATGAAGGACTGAAGATCGACCCCAAGTCCTACCGGATTAGAACCCGGGGCCAGAATGCATGTCTTCGAGAATATTGAGTCTGTGGTCCTGGAATCAACCCTAAACCCGAACGAGCTCGAAGAAACATTGTTAGCATAAACAACAGAAGACTGAAGTATTCGTGACCGGTTGGATATTACGGCGGGAGTCTCGGCACGTATCAATAAGGAACCGGCAATCAGCAAATCAAAAGATATTTACCTTTTATAGAATTGAACCTAAAGTAGGATTCCCCCACTATTTAAAGAGGGTCTAATAATTCGTTCAACACATTGTAACATGCATTCCAAAGCAATACATCATTATTTCTCTCTTTAAGCTCTTATTTTATTATATCTTGATAGCAACCGAAGCGCATCCAGTTCGAGTGTGACTAACATCCCAAGACTCTAACTGTTCAATTCGTGTGGGTTGAATTTACTTTATCATTATTTATTTCAATTGCAATTTAATTTATCGCTTTTTGTCAAGTTAATCCATGTATCCTTAAAACCATTTACAAATTCAACTGTTATCCGATTTCAAGGGTAAACAATGCTAAAAATCTTAAAGGGTAAACCCATAAAATTTAATCCTTGCTCCGCCTCTGCTGCTATTTAAATGAATAGTGAAAAAAGAATAGACTCATTATATACCGAATTTTTGGCCTTCAAATTTTATCAGTTATAAAAAAAAAAGTAATAAAAACAAGAATTAAGTAAAAGGAACATTGGATATAATGTCAGTGAAGAGAAGGGGCAAGGAGGGATACTGCCATGCAAGGTGACGTGGTTTGACAGCAAAAATAGTCACTTGAAAAATAGTGTGCCTGCACGTAGATTTTCTCTTCAATTTCTTCACTCAGCACATTTGCACGTTGATTAGTTTAGCAGTAGTGTTTCCATGTTCACTGTTCCAAAGCTAATTCCATGCCTTCCACACTTCCCTCACATTTCACAAAGTGTTTTGTAAGCCTTTTGGTTTCTTGGGAAAAATAGAAAATGTTCTCCTCGATCTAGAATTGTTTGTTATTGTTATATTTTAAATTCATTTTATGGATCTAGGTAGATCACACGGATCACTGTTGGTGCGTTGAACTTATCACCATTGGACATTTTGATGAATTATCAAGAGATAAATTTCAACCCAAATTTTATAATTTAGTTTTGATTGCCAAACAGTGTATGTTCTAGGGCTCGGCATATATTGGGTAAAATTGATTGTTAGAACCGAAAAAATGCTATTAGGTTATCGGTATCGTGTTATAGGTTTAATGATTTGGTAACGATTTAGTATTTTTTGGCTACTGAATTATCGATTCGGGTCTCGATTTGCCCAATTTTATTAAGGGTTTAACTAATAACCCAACAAATTTTATCCAAGTACAATTTTAGCCTTCGTTATATAAAGCCACCTTTGAACTTCATTATCTCATTCCCTCGTCACTCTTCATTGTCAGACCTTACTCCTTAGGGTAGGTTAAACTTTTCTGAATTTCTCATCTTCATTCTTCAATTTAGATTTTTAGTTTTGAACCTTAAAGAATTAATTGTTCAAATTTTTAATTTTTCTATTTGTTTTTTTGTTGCACTGATTCTTTAGCATTTACAAGATTAAAGCTTTACCCTTTTCATGTGGCTTATATCTGCCCGCTAGCTAACAATTTATGATTAGATTGTTGAATATTATATACAATTACTTCTATTAACTTATTCCTTTTGTTGACTTTGAGAATCACTACAAAAAACGATGCAATTGTGGCGGTTTTATAATGGCGGTTACACGAAACCGCCACAATACACAACATATTACGGCTGTTTTCAAACCGCCATATTATGAATTTACAAAATAAGACAGCGATTAATACAATCCCCTGTTTATACTCTCATAAATTAGAGAACTCTGCCCCGCCTTTCCTCCACTATCTTGCTTCCAGTAAACCCTATTTTTTTTATCCAATTTGCCTCTGTCTCACAGATCGCCAAATCGCCATAGCCGGTGACTCCCTCTCCTCTCTTAATCTCTCACTTCCTTCTCCTCTTCTCGACAGCTCTTCAATAAAGCTGGCAAGAATTTCGCTAATCTTTGTCGTTCCTTTGATATATGTGGATCAATTCACCTAGGTACTCTCTATTTCCCGTTGCTTTTGCTTATGTACGTATATATTTATGTGGATATACGGTTACTTTATTTTTTCACTGTGCCTCATTATGTAGTTGTTGGATCTGTGCTTAGCTTGCTACTTTCGGAGATTTTTAACATCTTGTGCTTTTAGGAACATATTGTTTTGTAATTGAAATTTTCTAGATTTTTTTTTTGTGGCTTGGTTAGAACTTATCTATCAGTTTAGGGTTAAGAGAAGTGAGAATCCTTAGGATGTGTGTAATTTAAACATGAACAGTTGATTCCAATCAAAATAAGCAAAAAGAGGTTGTGAAATAAAAAAGATGTAAAGAAAAAATTTCAAACTTTGAATATTTGACGATACTTGTTTAAAAGAATTAGCCTTGATTTGAAATGTGAAAATGAGAACTTGTGTGTTGCTTATTATGTGTTGCTTAGTAAGTGTCATTTCTATTAATTTTGCTAGATGAAAAGTAAAATTAATAACTTGGTGTTTGAAGTTGGCACTTCTTTTTAAGATTGACGACTAGAAGTTGAATTTGACACTTTTTTATAAGGATTACTGATTGCATTTCTATTATTGGGCATTTGAAGATGTATTAGCAGTACGGAGCAGAATGTGTATAGAGGATATATAAAGGTCTTAATTAGTTTGGGATTGAGAATTAGTCAACTGGTTATATCAAAAACTGTGTGAGGAGTGATTTTCATGGTCATCTACTTCTGCCATATATTATTATATGAGTTAAGGAACTTGAATGATTGAATATGCTGCTTGAATTAATTTTAGTATCATTTACTTGAATTTCTCTTGTTAAAGAATAGTCCAGACATATATATATNCTCGCTCTCTTGATTCATTATCGCTATTGAGAGGGGGGTTTGATAAGACGTGGAGGAGTATACTTATATCACAAATTATGAAATATGAGATACATTGACATTTATATGGGTTGTACGATTTTGAAAAGATGATTCTCACAGATAGTTATGTCTAAAAGTGACAATATTATCACAAGTGACCACTCATTATTTAGTAAGGGATTTTTATCAGATGAAGGCCTGCAACATATGTTGGATTTTTATCATTAGTGTCCTTTTTGTTTTGATTTGGTTATTGATGCTAATTGCAGTTTATTAGCTGGTGTATGTATTGTTAGTGTCTTTTAGGTTATATCCATGGTTTTGCTATCTTGATTTCTTGGATTTTTACTCTATTGGTGGAAAATTAAATCTAGAGTTGTTGTTTGGAGGTTTGATGATGCTGCTAATTTCTAATCTGATAGCTCTCTAGCTTGTAGATAATGTTGCGGATGCAGTTCGGGCACTTTAAACACACGATGCTGCAAATTGTCTTGCGGAGGTTTCGCGAGTCTCGTTTGTGTTTGTGCTCCAAGGTAAATACGTTCTCTTCCTCTTTTGTGTCTTTTTTTTTATTTGTGACCTGCGTACACTTTTAATCTTAAGTATGCCTGGGTCCAATTAAAGTGTAATACTATGTATGTTGTTCCTTCTTCTGTAAAGAAGATTATGATTTCTAATATATCATATGAGGTCACAAAGTAGTCTAACGATGATCTCCTTTTATCTAATATTCAATGTTAGCTTTTAGCAAATATTGGTCACCCCATAAAATTATATAATGTTGCCTTTCAGGTTATATCTTTTGGGAGAAAATATATAGTTTGTTTGTAAAACCACGTTTCAAAGGGAGGGTGCTCTCACAATAAGAGACTATGATCCTGCCTCAAAAGAAGGTTAGCAAATTAAACTTTCAGTATTCTGTTTAGAATAATATTCGGAGGTTGGTGCTAATAGTCTCAATGCAAGCTACTAACTGATTACCTGTCACATATAACCTTTTTTTTCATGAACTTTTTTGCTGTTAATTACTGAATTCTCAGAAATTTTACCTGAAGAGGTTAAATATTTAAAGGACTCTTACAAATTTATTTATTATTAGAAATTATGGTGAACTTACCCCTGTGATTGTTTGGATGTGCAGATACAAATATACTTTTGATCATATTTCTTTTTCCCCTTTCCTCTTCAGCTTTGGATGGTACTGCCCCTATTTATGCGACTCTCAAGCTACTCAAGATCTTACTTGATAAGAGGCAAGTCATATATGCCTGGCTTTATGTTTAAATTACTTTATATTTTGGTGAATGATCACTATACAAATCACAAATATAATTAATTAACACCAGGAATTCTTCCGCATTTTTGCTCTGCTACTAAAAATTCTTTTATGTTTTCAATTACAACACTTAATTCTTGGTAAGAAAAAACTTTTATGTTTTCATTTACAACACTTAGTTATGGCTGGAACTAATTGGAATTGAATTGTAAGCTAACCTCACTCCTCAGAACGCATGCACCAACTTGATAAATATGAACACAAGAAGAGATAAATATTGATTTATTTTTATTAACTGCAAAACTTTTGGGTGGTTGCATCTGTACATGACTTGATTATATGAATTTTGTTCCCATTTACTTATAACAGTTGATACTTTATATGGAGATAGTTGATGTTATTGTGCTCGAGCTAATTGTAACTAGTGTATATATATATATATATATATATATATATATATATATATATATGTGTGTGTGTGTGTGTGGTGTGTGTGTTTGTATCTTGATCCTTTTGAGTAACTTTTTACTTGTTGTTTTAATTTATTTTGTAGGCATTGGATATAACAAAATTGCATCTCATCATCTGTCAATCCATGAAGTACATCACATATAAATAACAAAGAACAAGTTTAGGATTTTACAGAATTGTTTTCCTCATGGGATGTAAAATATTACTCCTTGAAACTTAGTTACATTTTATGATGTAATTTTGAAATGCTTATTCGTTTTATATATGATGAATTATTTATTTAGTTGATCTTCTCCTTATATTTGTGTCAAAAGAATTAATATAAAGTAATAATAAATTTGATAGCGTAGGACATGGTGTAAAATAGAATGCAAAAAATGTGAAAAGGAATCATAAATGGAAGAGAAACTACTGGATGTGCTATGAGGATAATTACGACGGTTTGGACTTTGGACCGCCACAGTTTCAATTTGGGATTTATACAATAGTATATAATTGTGGCGCTTTAAAACCACTAGTTTAAACAACATAAAACAGCCACTTTATGTTATATTCAATTGCGGCGGGTTGTGGAAAACCGCCATATCAACTTTGTGGCGCCTTCGATTTCGGCGTTTTCACTAGCCGCCATTAATTATCCTAGTGGTGGTTAAAGACCGCCGTAATACGCACAATTTAACCGCCGAAATTCACTATTTTTTTTTTATAGTGAATTGAGATAGTTAGTAAGATTAGATGTATATTTTTCACTAATTGGTAATTAGTGCAGCGTTACATATTACACTCCTTCCCTCTAGATTGAGCTATCTTATCGAGTAAATAAATAATGATCAATAACCAACTAACCGATACTTTATCGGATCGGTTATTGATTTAGCATATTTATAAATCGATAACTGAGTTGTCGAAGCGATAATATTTACAATCAAACCGATCGGTACTGTAACGACCCGGTCGTTCGTTCTGGGAGTTATAGCCTCATTTCCCCAATCTATGCTTAGTTATGTATTGTTCAGCTGTGTTGAGTTGTATCAAGTTGGTAGGCTTGGGTTCGGAGTAGTTTTGGAGTGAAATGAGACACTTGGTCTCTTACTTAGAAAGTTAAGTTAGAAAAGTCAATCGGAAGTTGACTTATGAGTAAATGAATTCGGATTTGGATTTTTATGATTCAATTAGCTTCGTTGGGTGATTTTAGACTTAGGAGTGTGTCCGGAATATAATTTGGAGGTCTGTGGTAGAATTAGGCTTGAATTGGCGAAAGTTGGAAGTTTAGAAGTTCTTAGGCTTGAATTCGAGGTTGATTTGATGCTTTGGTGTTGTTTTGGGTGTTTCGGAGGTTTGACTAAGTTCGGGTAGTGATATATGACTTGTTGGAATTATTGGTTGAGGTCCTGAGGGCCTCGGGTGAGTTTTGGATAGGTTTGGGTTGTGTTGCGCTCGTTTTTTCGTATGTTTCGATGTCGTTTCTTCAAGCATAAATGATATCATATTGAACAAATGAGCTCTGATTTCTTTTTTGATTGAAGCATTAGATCCGTATCGTAATTACGGATCCGTAGCAAAAAGAATCGTCAAATTTGGACATTGTATGAGGCTTTTATGGTCATTTTATTAAGAATTAGGTTGCTAGATTTGTTTTAGATTAATTACGGAATTGCCACTGACGGCGTATTTAAAAATCTGCACTATTTGCAAATATTGAAACCAACATATCTCCTTCATTATAAGGTCAAATTGAGAGATTCAAAATCCTAACATGACTAATATTTCACAAGAAATCTATTGGAGGCATAAAAAGCGAGTTTCGGGATAGTTTGGCATGAGAAACGAGGGAGAATAGCTGACAGAAAAATATATAAAATAAGGGTTTGTTCATTCGGTTATATTTTGAGTTGGGGAGCTTGGATTTTGGCGGTTTTGGAGGCAATTTTTACCATATCGATTGGGATAAGTGTTCTCTACTCGGTTTTGGTTGTATTTCAAGAATCCATCTTCATTTTTGGGATTTGATTAATAATTTTAAAGTGAAATTGAGGGAGTTAGGGATTGAGTTTTGGAGAGTTTGAGGTGAGAATTTGAGGGACCAAACAGAGTCGGATTTCGACGAATTTTATATGGTTAGACTCGAGAGAGAAAGAGATTTCTAATTCTGTCATTTTTGACTAATTTCGAGACGTAGGCCCGGGGGTCGGGTTATGGCTCTTTTCAAACTTTTGGCCTATTTTTGTAGTTTTTATTGTGGAATTCGATTCTCTAGCCATGTTGATAATATTATTCTGATTATGGTTAGATTCAGAGCTTTTGGAAACTGAGTCCAGAGACGAGGGCATCCTGGAGTAGGATTTTACGCGGTTAAGGTATGTAACAGTTTTAACTCTGGCTTTGAGGGTATAAATCCGGAGAATTTGATATCATGTGATTGTCTAGAGGTGATACCCACGCTAGGTGACGGGCATGTGGGCGTTTACCTCGAGGGATTGAGACTTGGTCTGTCTCGTGGGGTCTCATGGCCATCAATGTGTTTACATAGTTACTTGTTGTTGAACTTGTATGCCTTCATGTTAGAGATCATGCTTAGGCTTTATTCATGCTCACATTATTTGCATTCAGTCATAGAAATTATTGTACATGTTTACCTCAGTCGCTATTATTTTGCTGATATGCTATGATATTTGATGTGGGCTCTTTTCCCTTATTTGTTGATGATGGTGAGGCTAGAGAGGTTCATGACTGAGTGAGGCTGAGGGCCTGTTGTGAGATATTAATACCATAGCGTGTGAGTTGTCCGCATAGTACGTGAGCTGACCGTGCGTATCTAGGTATTGATACCATAGCGCATGAGTTGCCCGCGTAGCACGTGAGTTGACCGTGCAGATCCAGCTATTGATATTTATGGCATGTGAGTTGTCCATGCAGCACGTGAGTTGTCCGTGCTTAGCGCTTGGGCTTTGGGAGCCCCTCCGGAGTCTGTACACACCCCTAGTGAGCGCAGAGTGTTGAGTGCGAGTGATGAGTAATGGAGTGACATTACTATATGGTTGCATTTACTTTTGATGTTACTGCATTTACCTGTTAATTTCTTTGTGGCATTGGTTGGTTCTATGAAATTTACCTGTTTATTCATGTTTATTGTAAATTGTGAAAATAAATAATTGAACTGTTTTGCTTAGCTCATCACTACTGCTCAGTTCCTCAGTTATTTCTGTTACTACTGAGTCGGTTGTACTTATACTACACTCTTCACTTTATGCGCAGATCCAAGTGAGTTAGAGCACGACGATCGTTCAGTTCAGGCCGGCTATCTATGGAGATTGCAATGTAGCTGCTAGCGTCTGCAGGACCTTGTTACTCCTTTGTCATTTCTTCTTTTGGATTGCATTGACAGTTAGACACTTTATATATCTTAGTTTATAATTTTAGACGCTCATGACTTAGTGATACCCCGATGTTTGGGGCTCGTTTATGTATTTTTCCATATTATATTTAAAGTTGATTTAGTTTATGAAAATATTTAAATGTTGAAATATTTTATTAATTTCTTATAATCGTTTTAGTAGCAATATTTTGGAAAGTAGGCTTGCCTTATAACATGATAGGCGTCATCACGACCATGATTAGATTTTGGATCGTGACAAGTACCCAACCTTAGTATTTTCTGATAGCCTCATGGGAGTTGACAAGATAGTCCTAGAGTGGCAACTAGGTTTTGTATTAAGGTTTGAAAGAAACATTTGGACTCATGTTATTTAATTCCAAGTCCCTCAAATAGAAAAAAGAAAAAAAAAAGGTTCCAGTCAAAGAATTATAGTTTGCTTACCACAATTGTGCCTAGGATTGACCGATTGAGGGATATTTTATGGAGAAATTATCAGTTATGTCAGCCCAAAAATAAGTTAGTACATGTAATATTCTTCAAATTTATAAAAGTTTCAAGACACGCTCAATATGAAATTAAATTCTTTTTTTCTTGTCTTGAGTGCATAAAAAAAGAAATTTATACTTCTATTACGGACTTAAACCCTTGTGATTGACTTTTGAGTTACTTCTCTATTTATAAATAATTGGATATACAAATAGGAAATATTAATAATTTTAGTATTTTTAATTATTAAAAATGAGTATTATTAAATACTTGTTAAATAAAAAAAAGGAAGCAAGACACCTAAGATTTGGGCCTAAAGCCCATAGAATGATCTATTGAAAGACAAAAAAAGGAAAATGCTTAAAGCCTTACAGCTAGTTTGGATGGTTGTTATGTATCGTTTTATATTGTATCATGTAGTATTGTATTTTATTATACTGTATCGTTTTGATGTATACAATGTTTGGTTAGATTATATTATTTTCCGTCGTTTCATGATGTCATGCACCAATAATATAAAGAATAAACTTGCAATATTATTAAAAAAAAGTAAGGAACGAGGTAATATTATTATATAAAAGGTTGGGTAAAGGATAAAGTAGGATTAGTTAATAATAAAAAATGGCAAATATGAGAGAAAAAATAGCAAAACGACGTGACCATACCAAATTGGTTGTTTCATAAAGTGGCACTTTTCATTGTTACGTAATAATGGGTTTAAACGATACGATACAATAAATTTAAGTAACAATAAAAAAAATGTATTTAAAGTAACAATACGATACGATACAACATATAACAACCAGCCAAACAAGCTGTTAGGAGGAACGAGAGACAAGTGCCGGAAACAATTGCAAAGAATTCAACACAAAAAAAAATCAAGGAGCAAGAAACAAAGGCAGCGTTGCTTCTCCCATCGAAGTAAACACGCAAGACCTTCTTTAGGCCACGACTGAGATAATTCTTTTTATGAGATTGTAAGTTATAACATCATTATACACTAGAATCTAATACCCTAATGGGGGTAAATTCATAGGAAAGTTTGAAAGAAGAAATTGAGGTGAGTGGATATAACCATTTACTAAAGTGCTTCTACTCACAAAAATATGCCCACAAAGTGTGCGATAAAATATTTTAAAGAATCAACATGTGCTTAATTGGAACGAGTGAGTACATGTTGACTAAG